GAGGAGGAGGAGGAGGAGGAGGAGGGGGAGGAGGAGGCGGCATTGGATTACACTCGCGGCACAGTGTCGCGAGAACGCGTAATGACACCGAGCCACCGGAGCCTGGCAGCAAATTATTTCGCAATGCGGTAAACGCATTGTTTTCTGCGCCGTGGTATTTTCAAATCGAATTTCCCTTTGTTGGACGGGCCGGCAGGCGTTACGATAACGCGATTACGATTCGCACACAAGCTAACGCCCACGGCAACCCGCGACCACTTGTTTTTTCGATGCGTCTCGCGTTACGGTGATGCGGGTAAATGATAATTTCCAGCCGCATATCCCTTAATTGAATTTATGTAAACGTATCAATTGTATCGTTATTTAAAATTAACGCGCGTATCGTATCACGGTGGCTTTGAACGCTTCGAATTTCCAATTTCGACGGGAGGCAACAAACGTGTTCCTCGGCCATACACGGATATACGCGAAATTCTCGTAAACATCGCTGCCCTACGCTCATTCCGAGTTTTCGTTTGAATTTTAATCCGGACGAATAACTCGTAATATTTCCCCCGCTAGTGTTAGATGGCAGAAACTCGATACGAGTGGAGGAGCTCCTCCTATTAATATTATTGCATTTAGATCCCTGCAAAACAACAATTATCGACGTTGCGCGAATCGAATGTACATATAAAATTCGATGTTCACGCGTTCGCTCTGAAAGTATATATATATATTTATGGAGGATAATAGTTCACACTAGTGTAAATCAGGGATGAGTTTATCCAACGAATCACGTCATTGTGTTGATAGACAGCGCTTCGGGGATTTCTCGATGAGAAATCGAAAACGATGGACCGTGTTTAACCGCATCCATCCTTGATGGATGAATGTTCATCATAAATAATAATTAATGGTATCGTGGAAACGGAAAATTGGAGATAAATTCACGCGATATTCGTCTATTCTGTTACCTCCAACGCGATTAGTTAGTTAGAAGTCGAGAGTGTAAAGGATATCGCAAAGAATAGTTCTTCGTAGATTCATTTGGTAGATCGAATCAAAAACCTCACATTTCAATTATACAATACAATTTAAATTACTCGTAAATTTTAAGAAGCGTATTAAACTACAGATCTAAGACTTTTAACGCTTAAACATTAACGAAACGCGAAATCGCATTTCGGATGGAAAAACTTAATTCGTAAAACGATTCGATTGGATTCGATTGGAAGTTGGGCCGATTCAAATTATCCACTCGCCCCCTTTGACGGCCAATCTACGACGACAATTCCGACCGATCGATTCCTTGCGTCTTTGCAAATTAACCGGGCTGCGGTACGTCGCAGGGAGGCATGCTAATTTTTTGCCCGGCAAAACGGCCGGATTCCGGTCACGTATCGCGGTTGCGCACCGCTAACGAATTGAAAACTGGTAATTAAAGTTACCGTGACTTCTGATCGCGCGATTTCGGCTCGCGGCCGACTGCACATTTGTTACTGACAGTTGTTGCGACCGGATCATCGGGCCGGGAATTACAGCGTTGGTTCCGGGCCCATGCTACGTGAACGCCCCTCCCGTTCCCGAGAACTCGCCTCGGCCTCAACTTTGTTGCACGCAAGAATAAAACGAAGTTTCGACCGTTCGAACTCGATTATAAACGAGATCCTTCGTGGAAGTAACGAGATTTCTTCGCCGAGGAGACGTCGACGATCGAATAATCGGATAGTTTCCCTTCTCGCTCTGATAGCCTCGTCATAACGGGACGGGGAAGATTTGACGCGAAGGCGAAGAGAACAGGTATCGTTTATTTAACTTGCTGAAAGCGAGTAAGTAGTTGTAGGCGAGGAGCTCGCGCGTACTCCCCGCTCTCTTCCGAAACTTTCGAGTTTGCGCCTCGAGAGCTGTCGTTACGACTTTGATCGCACTTGGCCCGATGTTCACGATGGAAAAGACCTTGAATAGCAATACCCGGCCCATCTCGAAAAACTTATAATTACCCGCAGACACACCGCCTCGCGCGCCTCCCATCTCTCTCACGCCCACCGACACTCGCTCGCTTTCTCATTACCGATTATCCGTAAGAGTTCGTTAGAAGCGCTACTTTCACTTCCCTCTCTTCTCGAGCACGTTTTCGATTATAAATTTGCGCGATTCGCCGGAAACGAGTACGTTCTTACGCGAAACGCGGCACACTAATTGCACGTAGGATTTTTTAGGCGCGTATATTAGGCTCGTAAATATTTTCTGTTTATCAGGATGGACGCGGGAATGGCCGTTCCACGTTTATTGCTTAATTACGAGACGAAGTGGAATTCGATCCTACGTATAATTTCTTTCTTTCCCGGCTCCACGAAGGCGAACGGAAGATTTTATTTCTTCCTTTCCTCTCCGTTAAAATATTTCCTATCTTCTCTACGAGATTACACTTTAGGTAATGTAAACGGCCTTGTTAACTGCGTATTAAAGAGGCTCGTGTACGACACTTACGAGCATACCTCCGAGAGAAACCGTTTCCGTGACACTTCCCATCCTTATATTATTCTTGTCTTCCCGGACTGCAACGGATCTCTTTCGAAATATCATATATATAAATCCCTCTTCCCTCTAAAAAAAGAGGAATGCAAAATTCCTGCGGATAACGCACGATTGAACTAAAGAACGTGGATTCATTCCGGAGTAATGAAGGTAGAAAGAAAGAAAGAAAAAAGAAAGAACTCGAATTCGAAACGGGTCCTAGAATTAATTGCCAGTGACGAGTCGAAATTTTTCAATTGATATCGCCAATTATTACTCGATATTACTCGTCTCTCTTACCGCCGCGGTTTCCACACTCGCGTTCGTTAAATTGCCCAAAATTTAGCCGAGATTCTTGAGGGGGCCTATGGCGAAAAGGAAGCGGAATCGAAGCTGAGAAACGAGCGCGGGACGAAGAGAGAGAGGAGCAAAGCGGAAAAGGACGACTCGAACGCGAGGATTCTTTCATCGCGGCGCGCGAGAAGGAAGGAGAAGGGCCCAAGGAACCGCTTTTGTGCCCGCGTCGTTGAAGGGTCACGCGTTCACCGGCAGGGATTTCGACCCCTTCGTCGTCTAATTGTTACTTAGTTTTAATTGCCGTCGGCGGTGTTTTGCATAAGTGGCTCCGCTGGCCCGTTTGTTTTTGCGAACCAAGGGACGAGGAAGCGGGGGGATCTTCGCGGCCGCCTCGCGTGGACGTGGATTAAATTGAATTAATTTCGGTCTCTCGTAGCGCGAGCCACGTAGGCCTCGGGGCCAAATAATTAATTACCGCCTTGCACGACGCTTGATAAGTAAATCTTTCCGAGCGAAGGATTTGCGTGCGATCGGGTGACGATTAAGGGGTTTATCGCTCAGAGCTCAGGCTCTGGATCGATGAACACGGGAACGATACGCGTTGCGTATTTTCGTGAGTGGATCGGTTTTTTTTTGGTGGAATATTTGTGGAACAGGCGATCGATGAAATTTGAAATGAAGGGTGAAAAGACGCGTTTTGTCTTGAATCGAACGAAGAAAATAATTAATTATCGCCTTGCACGACGGTTGATAAACCTTTCCGAGCGATTTGCGTGCGATTAAGTGACGATTAAGGGCTCAGATCGATGAACGATACGTGTTGCGTATTTTCGTGGATCAGTTTTTTTATTTAGTCGCGAAGAATATTTATGGATCGATGAACTTTGAAATAAAGATTGAAAAGATGTTTTGTTTTGAATCGGACGAAGAAAATATTCGGTCAGAAAATAATTAATTTTGCCGCCTTGATAAGTAAATCTTTCCGAGCGAAAGATTTGCCTGCGACGATTAAGGGCTCAGAGCTCTGGATCGATGAACACAATGATACGCATATTTTCGTGGGTGGATCGGTTTCTTTTTCATAGAATATTTATAAAACAGGCGATCGATGAACTTGGAAATGAAGGTTGAAAAGAATCGTTTTGTCTTGAATCGACCGAAAGAAATATGCGGTCAGAAAATATAC